TTTAGTTTGTTGATAGTGAATCCATATTTAAAGTGACAGTGTGTATTTTTCCTGGCGATAGGGGGCAGTAGATTCATAAATCGTTGCAAGCAAGCAGTATTTATGTGTTGAAGTAAGACTTTACCAACAGATGCCCATTAGGGTCAAAAAGCCCTGGGGAGTGCAAACTTCAGCAAAATAACGAGGACATCAGACTCCCTTTCATCAGTGGCAACAAGTGAAGGTAAATGTGTAAAACAACAACATTTAAGAACGGCGAATGTTTTGTAATCGATTTTTACAAATCAGTCAATGCATTTTGTCCTCATGGGCCCCCGTAGAAGGAAACATGGGATCTAATATGGCGTCGCCCAGAGACTTAGACCCGCTCCCATGTATCGTAGACCTGATTTTTATGGTTATGTTATGAAGCTGCCAATGTTTTTCAACAAGTGGGCTTCATTTCATTCGTTTTTCAACAACATTTTGATGGATATTTCCAGAGATTAATGGTAAAAACTACACGTTGTCTTTTTAAAGAGCAAGTCTCCCCCACATGAATTTTTGATCAACCATAAACGAGTGTCTCATGGTGCTGTAGACACATGAAGTCATTGAGTGTTTCTCAATGTCAAGGAACCTCACCTTGATGTCTTGGTCTCGACCCAGTTTCCTAGGAGATAAGTCATCAGGAACTGCCAAGGCGTGTTCCAATGTTCATGTTCTACCAAGGCGTCTGTTCTCCGTTTGTTAGCCGTTTAGCTAGCTGAGCAAGGATACATGGGAGGTGTCTTGTAGCCTTGCCTTGGTCAAAAATTTTCCAGCTATCAGACTGATATCTAAAATGTTTTTGTTTTTTTCCAGATCCAAAGCAGTTACCTATGGTTGGTTAGTTGTTGCAGCTTCAGTGGCTAGCAGGTAGTAACTAGCTTACATATTTAATTTACACAATTATATACACAATTTAAAAAGTGAATGGCTCGTTATATATTAATGTTGAAACGTATACGTATGGAATATAATGTTACCTTTTGTGTCACATGACGTGGCCGCTGCGAAAGCCGCGGTCATGTTATGCAAGTCTGTTCCATTGAACCGTTTTCTTTGACCAAGGAAGATCACCCCTATTTTAGTGCATCTTACTTCAAATATAAATGTTCAGCCTAAAAGTGTCAGTGTGGCGCCCTCTTCAGGTTAAAAGTCTGCACAACATTTAAATTTGAATCAGCTGTCGCTATTGGCTAAGAGGTACCCTGTGCGGTAGCAGGTACCGCATGATGTCAGCTGCACCGCCGGTGTGGAGTAGACGAGCAGCCGAGTCTCTGTTTCAGTCACTCCTTGTAGCGAGTGTTTACGACTCGTCACCGGTGGCCTCAGGACAACTCACAAGCTTTTAGTTAGAAACGGTATGGCTCAGAGCCACTACCCTCCACCAAACCTTCCTCACTTCCTTCTGTCCTCTGGTGGAGGAGGTGCAGATAACTCCTCTACTTCAAATGACTGGTCTGAGTCAAAGGAGCTAGCATCGCCATCAGTGACTAGGAATTGCTGCCTTTCGCTTCTGCATCGTGATAAATATCGTATCTCCGGATTCTCGCTACGACACATCCCTGATAACACCTGCAGTCACAGAGGAGAGCTTTCAGAGTTGAGTGACGATGAAACAGTTTCCTGTAGCAGTGTTGGCTAGTGGGTTCGTTCCCCTACAGACGGCATGAAAGAGGTCTTTTATCATGATAAGTGTGTTTCTGTGGATCAAAGAGAGACCAGTCTGTGTTTCTATCCCAGAGGAAAAGAACTTTAAAGCAGTCAAAGCTGCAATTTGAAGATATTAACCTTTCATTTGTTCTCTGCTGAGGCGCAGATGAAAGAGAAGCTGGATTTGCTACAACAGATGTGGAATGGTACCATTTCCATACGACCCGTTTGGGTAACTGCCTGCTTGGTTTGACTTTTCTGCTCAGGGCCGAGAAGCCAGGAGCTGCTTGTTTTAGTCGATGTTAACGAGGTTAGTGGAGGTGCTGCTGCTGGGCCCCGAGAACAAGAACTGCCACGCCACAATTAAAGGCTGGAAACAGAAAGGACTCGTTCCACAGATCCGTTCACCACTAGAACGGCTCCGGGTTCAACCGGTTCAGTCTTTATGACTTCCTTCAGCTTTAGCAGCTTCTCTCTCAGTTAGACCTTCTGTCCTTTTCTGAGACGTTGCTGCTTTGTAGACATCGGTGGGTTAGAGCCGATCCAGATGAAGCGCTTTACTGTCCGAGTTCACCTGTTGTCTTGTTTTACGTCAACGGCAACAACATGGAACCGATGGTTATTAGGGTTAGAAAAAAAACAACTTCCTGTTTCAGCCTGAGGGACGAAGTCTGTCTTCGTCTTCCTTCCAGTGACCAAAGCCTACTGGTTGTGCAGCACCAGTCCAAAGGTCAAAGGTGACGGATCATCTGCTGCTGTGGCCCCCAGACTCTGGACGTCTCTCCCCCTGAGCCTGAGATCAGTGGTCTCCTTTAAACTCACTTGTTCAGGCTCTGGTGGGATCTCCTCTTCTTCCTCACGAGCTTCTCATCATGCTGTTGTTCTGTCACTTCTGTCTTTCCCGGGATCCCGTCAAACCTTTTCTTATCCATTTTCTTTCCCTTCTCATTATTTTCAATGTAAAAGTTTCCATTTTTAAATAAATTTGTCTAAATTATTCATAATTTTTTAAAGAAAAATTTTGTTGTGAAGCGCCTCTTGCTTTAAATATATAAAAATAACTTCTTCCTCCTCACGTCGTAGTTCTGTCCCTCAGGAGGAAGGAAACAAAGACGTGGACGTGTTTGTCTCTGCTGCAGGAAAATGTAATTAAAATGAATAAATTCCTGCTGCGTGACAAACGTCCTGATCCTGTCAGACAGAAAAAGTCACCCCCCCATTAGATGGATGATTGTATTATCAGAAATGAAATGTGAACACGTCTTCCTCCATTTCTAATTTTCTGCCAGTATTCCTGTTTGGAGGGGGGGACGATAAACTCCACCAGCACGACCTTTGACCTTTAGCTTGGCTGTGTGAGTGTGTACACATCACTACTTAAACCCATCTGTTATTATGGGCTGCTTCATTTAGCTGAATGAAACAAAAATCCTCATATTTACCTAATTTACAGAAATTCTTGGTGATTTTGTTGTTTTCCATAAAGTGATTTTGGTTTCAAGTGATTTAAAAATACTTTCATCTTATTATTAAAAGTTTGTAATGATTAAAAAGAAGTAATTACAGACATCAAGTCGATCAGTCAGAAGCTTCATGGATCTTCTCAAACTTCTCCTTAGACCTAAGACGCACACACACACACACACACACACACACACACACACACACACACACACACACACACACACACACACACACACACACACACACACACACACACACACCCCTGTAACATCACAGCCTTCCAGCAGCCCCATAACAAATTACAGCCTGGGAAATTACAGTCATTTGTCTTCGTCGGCCCGCATCATGTCTGACCACCTCTCTCGTCTAAACCTGAACACCTGCACCAGCTACCTGTCCTCTCTACTCTATGTTGCTCTGATCATATCCTTCTCGTAATAAATGTCTGCCAGACTTCTTCTAAATGCCCGTAATCACTTGTTAATGTGTGTTTATCTGCCAAGTTGTCAGCCTCACAGCAGCTCACCTTCACTGACAGGTGTGCTGTAGACGTGGGCCCACATCAGGGGTTTAGTTTTTGAGTCTCACCTGTGAGCCAAAGTGGCGTCTGAGGATTTCATCTGACTTTAAAGTTTTTTGTGTCCTCTTCGAGGTCAAACATGACTTCTCTTGGGTGTATTTTAGATCTTGGACCTCGATGAGACCTTTTCTCACTTCTAGGGATTGGTACCGAATTCGGTACTTTTTAAGGTACCGACCGAATTCCATAGTACCGACTGAGCACCGATTCACGTCATTTCAAACGGTGCCTCGTTTCGGTACCCGTCCTTCATAACGAGAACTTGCCAAGACAGCTGCGCATACGCAAGAGCGTTATGTCATCTGTCGCTGCGAGCCAGTTGTAAACAGAGCAGCATGGTAGAAAGAACGCACGCTAAAGCTTGGGTCCACTTCACTAAATGTGATGGGTAACTGGGTGATGATGAAACCAGCGACAGACAACGATCTAAGTGAGACATCCTCATCTTAATCTGCTCCGGTAGGTAAATAAAATGTTTAAGATAACGTTACCTTGAAATGTTAGCTTCCGTTCCACTAATGGTGCGTTCGCTTTCTCCTCGGAACTCCGAATTTCCGCCAAGAAGAACATGAACACGCTCTAAAGTTTGGCTTCACTTTACTAAATGCAACGGGTGATTGGGTGAAGATGAAACCAGCGACAACGATCTAAGTGTGAGGCATCATCGTATTAATCTGCTCCAGCAGCTAAATAAACTGTTAAAGATAACGTTAGCTTGATTTGTTAGCTTCCATTGCCACCGTTGTTAATCAGCTAATGGTGCGTTCGCTTTCTCCTCGGAAATTCTAACTTCCTCGTAGGAAAAATCAAATGAAAAAAGATGGCAAAAGGTATGAAGATATGCAGTAAATTTAGTTCACAGTAAAGATGTTTGCTTCAGTTTAATTATCAGCTTATAAAACTACAAGGACGATGTTAAAATACAAACAATTGAATGTTATTTATCGTGATATTTATCAAATATTGTTATATATTGAGAAAAATATATATTTATTTATAAAAGAGAATTAAAATAATAAACACTCAAAAGTATCGAAAACTGGTACCGTTAAGTACCGGTATCGATTCGTAGGTACCGGGAATTAGTACCGAATCGATTCAAATGTCAAAGGTACCCATCCCTACTCACTTCTGTTACGTCTCTTATTTTTAAATGCTGCAAATCAGGACCTAAAGTCTGCAGAAGAGATCTAACATGGCCTCTGGCCCTAGAAAGGGTTAATCACGCTGAAACCACCATTCCTCACCTTTCCCCAAATGTTTTCTTGTGTTTGACCAGACTGAGGTGGTGAAGGGCGCGTGTGGCAGCGTGGGCATGACCTTCAGGCACGTTCCTGCCTACGAGGGCGAAGCGGTTTATGTCAGCATCGAAACGGTGATGCCCAACTCTCCTGCAGCCATGGCGGACCTGCAGAGGGGAGATCGTCTCATTGCTATTGGAGGTGTGAGATGTTTAACAACTCTAACGTGTGTGGGTGAATATTCATGCTCTCATCCCTAAAGTGCATTCCTCCTTCTTCTGTTGGCAGGTGTCAAAGTGACGTCTTCGGTTCAAGTGCCCAAGCTGCTGAAACAGGCGGGAGACAAGGTGGTGGTGTGGTACGAGAGACCAGTTCGTCATCAGACTCCTGCTTTGGGAAACCTTGGAACCCTGCAGGAAGGACTTGGGCCGCTAGAGGAAACGGGTTTCATTCCCCAGCCTGGAGGCTACGAGGAGGACCCGGCTCCTATCACCACCCTCTCTGATGTGTCCGACAGCAAAGACATGGACTCTGAGTTTGAGGAGCTGATCGTGGACTCCAAACCTGGTCAGACTGGTACCACCACTAACACCAGTGACACCAAGGAGGATTTCTTACTTGCTGTGAACCAAAGCCCTAAAAGGACAGTGGCCAACTTGGCCTCCAAACCGCTCGGTACCATTTCACCCATCCTCAACCGCAAGTTAAACCTCGTGGGTCTGCAGTCACCGCTAAAGCCCCAGGTCAAAGAATCACCTAAACCATCACCACTTAAGACCATTAATGACCCAGGAGAGGGTCTGCAACGCCCCAGTGTCCCCCCTCCACCTCCTCCGTCACGCCCCCCGGTCCCACCGCGTCCTCAGATCAAGCTGACGTCAGCATCCTCAGAAACCAGCCTTTTAGAGGGCATTGATTCTGTCACCACCACTGCTGCTGCTTCAGTCGTCCCTACTGTGACTGCAACCATCAGCTCTTTGGAAAAGTCTCCAGAGAAGGCTCCTCCCCCTGCAGTCATCGAGGATAAGACCGGTTCTGAGAAGACGAGTCTAAAACAGCCTGAAGCAAAACAGTCTATCAAGCCATCAGAGTTGAGCGACGAGATGATCGGTCCCACCTCTGTGACTGGAAACAAGAGCGATCAAGCCAAAGACAAGGTTTCCGAGAGTTCCTGCAGCACACGAGACAGTTTGGACGATCACTTACTCTGGGAATCTCCAGAAATCATGTTCCGGAACCAGACGGCCCACTGGCCCAAAGCCTCAGTGGTGTTTGAGGTGGACTGCAACCAAAAGTACCTTAACGCGGCCTTGTGGTGCAAAGATCCCTTTAAGCAAGGCAGCTTGTTGTGCCTGGGTCATGTCAGCCTCCAGCTGGAGCACATCGCTCTGGAGTGTATGGCCACTTCTTCTGCAGAGTACCAGAGCACCTTTAGGTTGTTGCCCCCAGAACCAAGAGCCAACGTCAGTCGTACCGCTCTGCGCAACCTCAGCACCCACAAGGGCTTCAACGAGAAGCTGTGCTATGGAGACGTTACCTTAAACTTCTGTTACCTTGGTGAAGGCGAGCAGGAGTGTCCAGTGGGGCTTATGGAGAGGGAGAGGGAGGGGAGCCTCCATGATGAGGATCTGAGGGAAAGGGAACCTGACCTCGCAGTATCTCGTGACGACTTGGCCTACAGTACCATTCAAGGGGCAGAAGTCCGCCACAACTTCCAGGATACCCAGTTTCAGAACCCTACCTGGTGCGAGTACTGCAAAAAGAAGGTCTGGACCAAGGCAGCTTCTCAGTGTATGGTTTGTAGTTACATTTGCCACAAAAAGTGCCAGGATAAGTGCCTCGCTGAAAGTCCCTTCTGTGTTGCAACCGCCGAACGTCGTGGGGCTGACCCTGAAGCCAAATCCACCATCAACCGGGCCACCGGCCTAACGCGCCACATCATCAACACCAGCTCCCGCCTGCTCAACCTGCGTCCGGTGCAAAAGACTCGACTCGTTGAGCATGTGGCGGACGTGCCCGGAGCTGTGGAGCCATCGCCCAAACAGACTCCCAACACGTCCGACAACGAGAGCAGCGACACCGAGACCTACACGAGCGGCGCCAGCCCCTCCAAGCAGCCCGGCGGCGCCGGCGCCAAGCTCGCACGCAAGGAGGGCGGGTTGGACGACAGCGTCTTCATTGCTGTGAAGGAAATCGGCCGTGACTTGTACCGAGGGCTGCCCACAGATGAGCGCTCCCAGAAGCTGGAGTTGATGCTGGATAAGCTCCAGCAGGAGATCGACCAGGAGCTGGAACATAACAATTCCCTTCTGATGGAGGAGAGAGAGGCGTCGGACGCCCGGCGGAAGGCCCTGATCGGGACGGCTCTGACCAAGTCCAGCGAGCGGCTGCAGGCCCTCACCCTGCTGATGATCCACTACCGGGCAGGCATAGAGGACCTGGAGTCGGTGGAGAGCACCTCCCCCTCGGAGCAGCAGGGCCTTAAAGCTAAAGCGGAGAGTCTGGAGGAGGAGGCCCTGATGGGAGCGGAGGTGTATGACAGTGACATGTGCAGCCCTGTAGAGGGCCAGCTGGCGGAGGACATCAGCGAGGAGCAGATCTGTGTGGAGGCGCTCCAGTAGGCCAGACGCTTGGGACTTCTGCTTCTCGGAACATCACTTCCTGTTTGTGGTTCTGATACGGAGACATTTCAGTAATCCTTGTGAGATTGGAGGATCTGATTTACCTGAGAATACATGAATGAGTGAGTGAAGTTGTTACAGATGTTCTGATTTGCACTAAGTGACCCCGTGGTAAGGCTGCAGGATCTAAAGGGAAGCCGTGATTGGAGCAGCAGGTTTGTCCTGCTCTCTGTCTCGTTGTTTCAGACGGACTTTAGGACACGTCCAATTTTCTTTGTGGTTCAGCCACCGGTCACCGCCTGTGACCTGTATGGTCTTTGTGAAAGAGACAGTCGGGCTTCTGGAGTTTTCCAGAAACGGAACGTTACAGTTTCTGTTTCCTACAAGAATTTCTTGTTTGTTTTTAGCACTTTCAATGGTTACGTGTTTGGATGTGGAAGCTTCGGTTTGGGAACATGTTTACTACGACGCAGGTGTGATTATCCTGGTTAATGTTTCTGTTACATCCTGTTTCTGTGTTTGTTTATCTTCCTGCATCAGATTTCAACATCAAACCTGCTTTGTGTCCGAAGGCTTCAGGTTGGAGCAGCAGGACGACTTATTTTCCTGTTAGTGTTTTTCTGATGATTTCAGTGGCAGTAGACGAGAAACCTGCTGTTGTGTGTTTAGCTCCTTCCAGCTGTGTGGTACAGCTTCCTGCAGCTGATAAGAGCGGCATCATCCCAGGAACCATCTTTATTTCATTAGATCTCGTCCATCTTAGCAGAGTTTAAACCTTTTGTTACAGATGAACCTTTTTGACCCTTGGATGCTTAAACACTGCTTTTTGCACCTTAAACAGCAGAACCTGCAGCTTTGGTTTGCAATAGAAACGTTTTATATGTTAAAGCAAACTGCAGTGATGCTGCCACATGGAGACGAACCCCAACATCACATAACTTGGTATAAATCAGACAAACGATGCACGGCAAAATACTTGGCCCTTTTGACCTCTGGAGTTTTTTAATTGTTGGAACCTTTCATCACAGTTGATGGAGGACTGACTCTCCTGCAGATAAAAACATCACATTTATTTATCTTTTTATGTTGCCTTCAACAGTTACAGCAGATCAGTGAAAATGACCAAAATGCACGTTGGTGAAGTGAGAAGCTGGATTTGGTATAAAGCTGCAAAGCTTCTGCACTCGTTAGTTTCTGTATATCCAGATTTTTTTGTGCAATATTTTTGTAAAAAAAAAAAAAAAAGAGAAGTCGATAAACATTAATGAGTCACTGTAGCTGTCTGCATAAACCCCCGAAGAGGAGTTCACTTCATCTCACATCCATGTTCTCTCTGGGCCTGTGGAGTGCTGCTGCTGCTTCTGGAACAACGTGCTCTACTAAAGCTTCCACCCCAGGTCCTGACCGCTCAGAGACTTCACACGCTGCACGAGTCCCACCACGGCTTTGAGCAGCTCAACAAGGTGTTTGTAATCTTTACTGTTTTCTTAGTTTAACCGTTCTAGAGGAAGTCTTGTGATGAAGCTTCATTGTACATAAATAAATAAGAACAAGTGAATTCCCTTAAATCGTCTTTGGGAAAATTATTTCAGTCAATTTTTTCAGTCGAACTGAAACTGGAAGCAAGGGGAGATCAGCAGTTGGTTGACTAGGATTACCGTTAATGAGGTGCAGGTTCTAAAATAATTTTCTTTAAGTGTGTGGGGGTGGGGGGTGGGGTTAAAGATACATAAGACCGAATGATTAGATCTCATGTACCCTTATAGCCCCCCCCCCCCGACACAAAAACATATTAGTATAAAGTTTTGGAGGTTCCTCAATATCAAGGCGCCTGGCCTTGCGAGGTGATGTCTTGCGAGGCCAGGCGCCTTGCTTAGGCCGGGGAAGTGCCGAAATTTGGCCGCTGCTCCTCAGCAGACCAGACGCTTGTTTCTCCGGTCGAGGCGCGCCTCGGCTCAGCTGTATTTTTTCTTTTAACCACTTTGTGTCCTCCATTTCCTCTCTGCCTATCTGCTCTTTTCCTCTACACCCCCCTCCTCCTTGCTGTTTGTGTGTGTTTGTACATGTGTGTGTGAGCCTATGATGTGAACCAGTGAATGGCGGCCTGTGTGCCCCCGGGGACCGCCTTCATTCGGCGCCCTTGTTATCCTATTCTATAGACCACATGGGCCGCCGAAGCGCAGCAGGCCGGCGCTCCAGCCCGAGCCGTGCAGCGATCGTTTTGGCGTCTGCTCAATTTTTTTTGCGAGCTGCGGGGGAACCGCGTCAATTCTGGCAGGAAGTCAAACCTAGACATAAGACAAATAAGACATAACAAAATAAAGCATTTCAAAATACAATTCTGCAATAAGTCAAATGTGTTCGTAAACAGACACTGCATAAAAACCACACGAACACACACACACACACACACACACGTACAAACACGCACACAAACAGCAAGGGGGAGGGGGGTGTAGAGGAAAAGAGCAGAGAAAAGGCAGAGAGGAAATGGAGGACACTAAGTGGTTAAAAGAAAAACTACGAGGCGCGCCTCGAGCGGAGAAACAAGCGTCTGGTCTGAACAGAGGAGCAGCGAGCAGCGGCCGAATTTCGTGAGCGCTTCGGCGGCTGGTGTGTCCCCGGCCTTATGAGGACACTGTCCTTCCTTGGTCAAAGAAAACCGTTAAATGGAACAGACTTGCATCACGTGACCACGGCGGTCACGTAACGTGAGATATAACGTTATATTTTCTACGTTTACGTTTCAATATTAATATATAATGAGATTTTTACTTTTAAAATTGTGTATATGTTTATAAAATTAAATAAGTGAGTTACTACACGCTAGCCTCCGAAGCTGCAACTACTAAGCAACTAACCAACCATAGCTAACTTCTTTGGATCTAAAATAAACATTTTAAATGAGCTGACTTACTTTTAAACTTGAAAATTGTCCCCAAAGTAGCTGCCGGCTTCTGATCCACCGTCTATTTGAAAATACTCCCGTGTATCCTCGCTCAGCTAGCTAAACGGCTAACAAACGGAGAACACACGCCTCGGTAGAACATGAACATTGGAACCGATTGGAACACGTCTTGGCGGCTCCTGATGACGTATCTCCTAGGCAACCGGGGCGGGGCCAAGACACCAAGGCAAGTTTCCTTGACATTGAGAAACATCCATAATCAGGGCCTTCCTGGCTGAAGATACATTTTCAGAGGGACTGAGGGCCCACGTGGGGCTCCAGGGTCACAGGTTGCAGACCCCTGGCTGAGGACATAGATCTAGAGGAAGTAGATCTGATGCATCTGCTTACGTTAGTGGAGCCTGTGGTGAGCTGCAGGACCTGGAATGGAGTATGGGATGAATCCAATAATGGAATGGCTCCTCTGGACTCTCAGATTTCATCAGACCAACTAAATCAAATCCAGATAAGATCTCTGGATTTATGATACTTAAATATATTCACAGTTTGACAGATGTCCAGCAGAGCTGGAGAGACTGAAGCAGCAGAAGCTAAAAGGGGTTTTCAGAAATGTTTCTGCCGCGTTTCTCAACCTTTCTGCCACCATCAGCTCACGGTTAGAACATGGAAATAACCAATGAAATAACACCAACAGGTCTGAGTTGGTGCTAAGCTCCGAGACCCATCCACATAAACGTGTGTCAACAAAAGCAGAAAATAAACAAACAAATGAAAGGATATTTGGTGTCAGAGGGTTTTAAATTAGGTGAAATCTTTGGTTTTACCGATTCTGATCATTTCTGACAACAGGAAACCCAAACCTGCAGCAGGTTGAGTCCAGCAGCGAGCCTTCAGCCCGGGATCTTTTTTTAGTGTATTGTTTCTACGTTGTGATGAATCCACCTACAGCGCTGCCTGAGCTACTACGGTCTTTTTCTTGTTGGAAAGGAAAAGGAGGCATTGTGTGGGCATCTGCAGCGTAATTGAGGCCCGGCGTGGAGATGGACAGGCTGATTACAGCGTGTCTGCTCACACATCTCCCTATCATGGGAAGTCATTGTGTTGTCTTCCTGCACGCATCACAGGCAATCAGCTGCAGGATCTCTGGGAACACACTAAAAAAGACGCATGCTACATCTTTGTTGGATTTCAGCTGTCTTAAAAATGATATGAAATCACACGTTGACCAATGGGAACATTCTTTAAATGCACTGAAGGTTAATGGTGCTGAAAACGTGAGCATCACTACCGCTTCAGCCTCTTCTTCTCTGGAGAAAACAGCATCTTTAGGTTTAACAGAACGATGTGTTCATTCAGTAAATCATAAAACATGTCCTGGATTTAAAAAACCAGGCAATGAGATCATTATTGAGACGTTAATGCTTCTCTGCTCAATCATCTCCTGACAGCCAATCAGAAGACTGCCTCTAACATTTAATCCATAAATGAAGATTAGAACATACTATGATGTGACTTGCTAATAAAGCCCCAGAAGACGAGATGTGCTGCATGTAAATTATGATTCTGTCATTAAAGCTCAGATGGAAAAGCTGGACCAGCAGCAGGAAATCAGGATTTTTGTGTTTGTTTTTTGAAGATGTGATTCACTGGAAAGGATTTTAATTATCTCTGATTCTAACGGGTGACTGAGTGTTTCATGCAGGCTGAATGTGAAAATAGTCTCCTACAGCTATCTCCTGCATTCAGCTTCTGATAGAGAACAGACGGTGAAACTCTAGGGTTAGAAAATCCTGACATATCTACGTCACACTGTCACTAACATTCAAGGACTCACCCATCTGGACTCACGACAGGGGAGGCTGTTGTTGGTTTAGTCCAGGAAACAGCAGAGAACATCTGGGCTAGTAGAAGCTAACGTTAGCGTTAGCAACTCCACCACACAGCAGAACTCCTCCGGGTTTGTGTTATTGGTGGAGATAAAACATCAACGTTGTACAGCAAACCGAGTCAGTGGTAGAGTCGTGTTGCTGTTAGCCAATCAGAGGAGAGATGTCCAGATATCAGGAAGTAAGACTCACAAATCTGTTGTCTGAAGCTCAGCTGGGATGTGGCTCCTTTCCAAGTCCTGAAAATGGTGCACTGGAATTCCTTCCTACTAAAGACCACTACAAGTGCACTGATTGAACAAGTGATCAGCACTTTAAAAGGTATTTTAAAAGCTTTAAACTGTAATTAAAATATTACAGACATTAATTTGAATATACAAATGAATTCTTCTAAGCAGAATCTTTGAGAAGGAGCAATAGATAAACCTTTCTAGACTGTAAACATGGACTTTATTAATATTTCATAGGGTAGGTTTTTGTGATTCATGTTTAAATCATGTAAAATAATCGTGGTAACCGTGATTATTTCTCAGACGATAACCGTACCACCAAAGTGTATAATCGTTATAATCATTGTCGTTCTGCCCCTCTGCTAAAGCAGACTTTCCATGCTGATCCAGGCGCTTCTGGGTTTTTCTTCCCCTGAGTACGACTTGCAAGGCAGTTATTCCTACCAGAGATGACTACAACTGTACTGATTAAACTAGTTTCCCACATGGAGAAACCGTAATTTGTTGCTGAGTCACTGTTTCTGTTTTACAGTTGAAGCTTCAGAAAAACCCATAGTATAAAAGTGGCTCCATGTGGTCACATTTAGCTCCTCAAAACAACATTTATGACTAAATGTTTCTATAAAAACCCAAATAATGATGTCAGATAACATTTAAATGATATAAAGTTATTTAAGTAGATAAATGTCGGCAAATTAAAATTTGGATGTTGAAACTTTACGCTTCTAAAGATGAAATATGTAGACTGAAGTGGCCTACCAAAATAAAAGCCGGGTAAAGAGATCCCCTCTCTGAAGCCTCCGAGTTGTTCTGATGTTATGAACGTGTGAATCTGTTCCTGTATTTATTAATGTTCTTGTATACGAATCCATGATTCTTTACCTCGTCTGACACCTTTAGAGTCAAATATAAATGTAAAATAATCTTCACTCATGTAGATTTGATTCTATTTAAATATCACTCAGATATTCATTTAATTAAAAAATTTGAAGCTAAAGAAAACAAACATTTATTTACTGGGTTTGTCAGAAGCTGGAAACGCTCCAGGAGGTTTATTTAATCCAAGTTTCTTTAGAACCAATTTTCACATTATTGATGACACGAAAACAGCCATAGTTCTCTTTTCCTGGCATTCATTCATTCATCTTCTGTAACTACTTCATCCTTAGGGGTCACTGGGAGCTGGTGTCCGTCTCCATCAGGTTACAGCCTAGTCACACGAGGATCCATCCACAGGACTTCTGCAGCAAAGCCACAGCTGGTGAATGCATGAGGAGAAGCCCAGATGTGTTTAGATGAAGTGGTTAATTTGCCGCTCTGCCTGCTAGAGCCTAGAGCTGACCCATTTGACGGAGTTGAACTGATGTGATACAGAAAGATCTGCTGGATGAAATATTGAGTCTGACTGGATGTTTGTAGGAGATAAAAAACAAAGTTTTAGTAACTGAAGCAAAAAGTCAGCTGGCAGGTCAGATAAAGATCAGAGGAACTGAAATCTGCGGCGGTGCAACGTTGATTCAATCCGATGAAGCAGGCAGAGAGCAAACAACTCATTTAGTTAGGATCAGTTCTAATATCAAAGGGCAGGTTGGCTGAGCCACCCACAGAAAGTCGGCAGGTGCCTCACCTGTCACCTGTCTCAGATGCTACCAAAAGGCGAAGAAAGAGAAAGAGCAGAGCTGCTCCTGTGTTCTTTAGCAGGATACAAATGTTCCTGCTCTTTTACTCCTGCATCATAAAAGCTGCTTCCTCCTGACATCAGCTGCATGTGAGCGTTACCCAGAGCCGCTCAGAACCACCATCACCCCAAACAGTCGTTCAAACCAATCCCCTACATCTGCAGGCTTCGTTCACGCCTCAGGAAAAAGTCACTTTTACACCGTGGCTCAGGTCACGCCCATGTGCGGGAATGTTTAATAACAACAAAACTAAACTAGTAAGTCCTCCAGGGGTCTCAGGAGGACATTTCTGAGTCATATTTTAGACGACTTTGATGTTAAACATCACAAATCTGCTCTGGAGGAGGCAGAAAGCAGCAAGAACCAGTTAACAACGAACCAAAACAGGTTCCCTTTGTCCCAGTTGTGACTGAACAACAACTTTAGGATCAATAACCGCGTCTCCTCGTTGAAGCAGCTGAAGAGCTGCAGATTAGCTGGTCTGTAGCATCTTCTTGTGTAAACGTTGGGCTGATGAAGTTTGTCGAGTTATAATAAAAAAAGTTGCTTTAATTGCACAAAATTATCCACAATTATCCATTATGTCACCAAGTTGAACCAAAGTCAGCTAATGATACTCTGGACAGACACAACAGGTAAAAGTCAAGAATAAAAACAGGAATTAAAACAGTTTTGTGTCTAAAACAAACCAGAAAAACACGTTTTGCCTAGCAACCCCTCCCCCCCAACTATCTAGAAAAGTGCTTTTTGACACATCTTCCCACAGAATAAGGCCATTAGCTAAAAATATCTCTCACACGATGCACTTGCAACCACAGATGAAGAACGACTTTGGTTTTCTGCGGTACGACTGCTAAGAGAACACTGGACAGAGACGACATTCACATGGAAACATCTTGGCTGTTTTTTCATAGTTTTTTTTACTTCCATGTTCTTTCTTGTTTTGTACAACAAAATAAATCCTCTGAATGGTTAACCTGCATGGCTGGAGTGCTGTTAATCATAATCTTCATATTCTGGGTCCATGTCTTCACCCTGGTAGTACGTCCCCTGTGTAGAGTAGGACCTTGTCTTTGTTGAGCAGTTGATGTCCATTAAGATCGCCTGGAAGGACAAAGACACAAAACAAGAGCTATTGCTGCAGAATCAGAACCAAGTTGTTTTTCTGCGGTTTTAGATCTTCTTTTAGAGCTTCTGAGGCGTCACCAGTAAATGTTCCCACCACCTTTCCTAAAGGCCGGCTTCTACCAAACGTTTTCAGAATGAGACACATGACTGGTGTCACTGTTTGAATAACTCGTAACTGAAGGGTTGTGGGGTCGAGTCCTGCCCAGACCGTCGCAGTCACTGTGCCCTTGGGCAAGACAATTAACCAGCCTCACTTCCATCAGTGTGTCAAAGGGCAGCTGTGGCTACAATGTAGCTCATCACAACCAGTGTGTGTGAGTGGGTGAATGATTGGTTGTGTTGTTAAGCTCCTTTGGGGGCTGTAGAACCCTGGAGGACACTACAATTTACCAGTCATACCATAAGGGCAGCAACGTAGCCATTGAAAACCATCAGAGACAGATGGATGTCCTCCTAAGTTCCAGGGGGTGGACTGCAGAGGACTGGAGGAAAGGGTCTCTGGGGGTGAGGGGGATTTCAGCCACTCCCAGTTTAGCCTCAGAACAGAACGGTAAGTAAGTAAGTAAGTAAGTAACTTTATTTCTATAGCACCTCTCACAGACAAAAAGGTCACAAAGTGCTTCACAAGTTAAAAGGCAACAACATATAAATACAGTAAAATACAGCCACAATATACAGTGTCAAATAAAACCAATCTGAATGAGACTAAGTTTAAAATGCCTGGAGAAACAAATGGGTTTTAAGATTGCTCTTAAAAACATCAACTGAGTCGATTGAGCGTAAAGACAGAGGTAGCTCATTCCAGAGCCTAGGAGCGACGGCCTGGAATGAGCGATCTCCTCGTGTCCTGAACTGAGTACGTGGGACCATTAAAAGGTTTTGATCCATAGATCTCAGCCTGCGAGAAGGCGTGTAAGGGCAGAGCATGTCTCGAACATACAATGGAGCCAGACCATGCAGCGCTCTGAAAGTCAGCACAAGAATTTTAAAATTTATGCGAAATGTGATAGGAAGCCAATGAAGAGCTTTTAAAATGGGGGTAATGTGGGCCCTTCTGTTGTCACGGGTCAGAATTCTAGCTGCACAATTCTGGACTTGTTGTAAGCGGGACAGCTCTTTTTTGTTTAGACAAGAAAATAAACTATTACAGTAGTCTAAACGGGATGATGTAAACGCGTGAATAATCAACTCAAGATCAGCTTTAGACACCATTGTTCTGAGTTTAGAAATTTGTCTCAAGTGGTAAAAACAGTTTCTAGTTAACTGCTTTGCGTGATGTTCAAGAGACATTCCCTTGTCAAAGAAAACTCCAAGGTTTCTAAGGGTAGGTTTTACAGACAAGCTCAGATCACCTAACTGCTGGTGAATCCCTGGAGCAGCATCATCGGGGGCAATCACCAGTACTTCAGTTTTGTCTGAGTTCAGCCGTAAGGCATTTGCACCGAGCCACTGTTTGATTCGCTCAAAACATGATAATAAAGAATGCAATTTTTTAACGTCAGAAGGCTTGAAAGAACAATACAGCTGAAGATCATCAGCAAAGAGATGATAGGAAACATCATTGGCAAACTCCTGGATTAGGTTTCCTAAAGGAAGGATGTACAACAAGAACAAAATCGGGCCCAAAACTGAGCCCTGGGGTACTCCACACCGTAGATCAGTTGGGTCAGACAGGAACTGGTTGACTGAGACACTTAGGCTTCTCCCGGATAAATAGGATGTAAACCACGCCAGGACAGAACCTGACAACCCAACCAACTCGCGGAGCCTACTCAGCAAGATCTCATGGTTAACCGTGTCGAATGCGGACGAAAGGTCTAGTAAAACTAGGACCGTGCATTTCCCAGAGTCTGCGGACATCAAGATGTCATTGGACACTTTAAGCAGCGCAGTTTCCGTAGAGTGGTGCTTACGGAAACCGGACTGAAACCTGTCAAAGATATTGCGATCCTGTAAGAAGGAAACCAGTTGTTCAGATACCACTTTCTCTAAGACTTTGGACAGGAAAGGGAGTTTTGATATCGGTCTAAAATTTTTAGGATCTGTTGGATCCAGATTAGATTTTTTGAGTAGGGGTTCCACAAAAGCATGTTTAAAACAGCTAGGGAAAACGCCAGAAGAAAGGGACAGGTTAAACATTCTGGTAACCCAGGGACCAATGGCATCAAATACTTTTGAAAGGAGTTTACAAGGTAAGACATCAGCCAGGCAAAAAGAGGGCTTCATTGTGGTTACCAAAGCTAAAATATCATCCTGTGTTACAGGTGAGAAAGAGGACCACGCGTGCGCAGGGAGTTCATCAATATCATCATTACATGACTGAAAAGATGGGAGTTTGTCTTTGATATTTTGAATTTTATCAACAAAGTAATTAAGGAATTTGTTTGCATCTGCTTTGTTGAAAACAGGTGTAAGAGGCGCAGCAGGAGCCACAATAGAGCTAATAGTGTCAAATAAAACTTGTGGTTTTTTCTTGTTTTGGATAATCAGTTTGCGGAAGTATTCAGACCTGGATTTTTTTATCAGCTCATTTAGAGAAAGCATAAGGTCCTTAAGGTACAGCCTATGGACCTCGAGTTTAGTGGACTTCCACAGGCGTTCCGTTTTCCTGCACAGTCTTTTAAAGTTCTGAATGCTGTCATTTATCCAAGGAGAAAATGGTTTCCGAGTTACCCTGTTAGATTTAAAAGGAGCAACCACATCCAAAATGGATTTACAGCGACTATTTAGGCTGTGAATAAGGCTGTCCACATCCTGAGATTCCAAAAACAAATTGGAGTCAAACATCTCAATGAATCTAGCTGCGGTACTTCAACATCCTCCCAGAGGAACTCCTCCAACCATCCAATAACAGCTTGGTGAAGAACAATGTCTTCTCCAGCATGATGGAGCTGAACTGAGTGGATCAGGATCAGAACATCTACATGTTGGCTCCAGGACCAGGAAACTCCCCAGACCTTAATCCCATCCTCGTGGTCCATCTTCCAGAGGCAGGAGGACAACACTGATGAAGAATGAGCTCCATCAGTCAGGATCTGGACCTGCAAGTCAGGGTGGACTACAGAGGTCTAGAAGGACCAATAGTGGAGATACTGACGGTTTTTGCTGCACTTCTACTTCAGTAACCATAGAAACGACTGAGAAGCAGCAACAGGTGAGTTGGTCTTAACTTCAGGCCGACGACTGGCGATAGATGGTTTCATTAATCCCAGGAGAGAAGTTTGATAATAAATCATTTATCTAAGGAGAAGTTACACAAATTTCATCTATTCTGAGTCTCTTGGTTATACGAGTCCATCTGCCACTCGCTTTCTGACAGAACATAACGCCCCCGGTGAAAACATCTAATGACCCAGAAAACAGATAAAAATACTGATATAGGGAAGAAGCAGAGGAAATGAACAGATGGGGTTAAACAAGCAGGACGTAATGGGGTTAGTAAGGCAGTAAACGCTGGATGGAGATGTACAAAAGGATGTTCTCCTGAGAGCTCAGCCTCCATTAGGAGCCACATCTGTCCAGAAGACTCCGTATCTATAAACATTTCTGTGTTTGTGAGAAGTTTAGTCTACTACAGTTTCTGTATCTTACAATTTTCTCTTCTTGTCCAGGTGGATTCCTGAGGAAAAGGCAAAGCGGAGCGAAGAAAATATCCACTATTCCAATGATGGTCATCAGCCAGGAGAAGCCAATGCTCTCAGCTATGGAGCCACCGATGGAGGGACCTGTAGAAGGAGAGCAGATCAGCTGCTTCATCTGAGTCACGCTAGTCCCAGAAAAGTCGCAAAGGTCACCTGATCATAATAACAACAACAACAATAATAATGATAATAATAATAATACTAATATAAAATATAAACATAATAATAATAATAACAACAACAATAATAACAATAATAATAACTATAATACTAATACTAATAATAATAACAACAACAATAATATTAATAATAATAATAACAAACATAATAACTATAATAATAATAACAAACATAATAATAACTATAATAATAACAGGAGTTGTAGACTGTTTATGTCTATTTGACTATTTTTGTTTTGCTTCTTGGTTAAAATAGTATCTTGTTAGAGAATCTTATTTGGTGACTTTTACCAGCAGAAAGAACTAGAGAAGATTCTTCATCCATGGGATAAACAACACAGCTGCTACTCATGGTTTGCTGCTCAAAAAAATCCATATCCCCTTTTAATATTCTCCTGTTTGTATTCACGCTCCCTAAAACATATTGGCTCCGCCTCCTGTTGCAGGCCATTAGCTTGGCTACGCCTCCTGTTTCTGATTACCAGCTTTGCTCCTCCTCCTGTGACATATGACATGACCAAGCTGCCTAACAGCTGAGAATCAGGAGCCAGTTACACACCTGACAGAGTCTGAAGCTCAGATCAAGGGTGAGAACTAGCAGGTGTGTGTGGGTTTCCTGTTACAGGAGAATCAATACATCCAACACAAATGTTCAGACTTCCCTGTTGCTAAATAAATGTAAGTTTTTATTTTGGCCATCTTCCCGGTGTTCTGGAGCAGAATCTGAGGCCACAGAAAGCTCATTAAGCTTTGGGTCCTCATAAGTTATGAGATGAGTGATGAGCTCAGATCAGTTATTCACCTCTAATCATACGTTCATATAAAAAACACATAAAACGTTCCAGTATGCCATTTGTTAGACAACATGAAGCCAGAATGGAGCATCAGACCTCATTTCCAAAGTTTGTTTGTAGTTAGTTGCATTTCATTTTCATAGTTTTTCCATTTCATTTCATTTTGTTACTTTGACATCACTTCCTGCTCACCTAAAGCAAACCCCATGCAGAAAGCCACATCAGCGATGGCGTACACGCTCCCGTACACGGACACGTGTCTCAGGTCCACCAGGTAACCCATTATAGGCATCATGGAGGAATCCACCATGCCTGTGACACAAAAGGGTCAAGATTACAAACGCACAACGTTCAGGTAAATCAGTGTGGATTTAACGGATTTACCAATCGCAAAACCAACTCCAAAGTTTGGGAGGATTAACCCGTAGATGTCTTTGGCAAATGGAACCTGAAATAGAAACATTTAATACATTTATTAATAAAGTTATGAAGTCTAACATGTAAAAACCCAGATGAGGTGTTTCAGCTTCACCCCTCCTGCATACTTACACACAACACGCTGAACCCGACCACCACCATTCCGATGAGAGCACACAACCATCTGTGGAGCAGAGATAAGGCGCCGCAATCAGATTAAGTACATGTTTCTGCAGGACACAGAGTCAGGTCCAGGCATGCAGCTTAGAAAAAAACGCTTTCATAAACCCGAGAAAACACATTTTGACTTTTCAGAATCATTTCATTTGCTACTAAACATCCAGCTTAAGGCCTACAGGATGTATTAGATGTTTTGGTCTTGTTTAAGTTTTGTTTTATCAGTTTAACATTTACCATAAGGAGCCCACCTGCATGTGATGTCACTCAAGGTGGGCGGAACCTCAGTGAACAGTTGGATCTTAGCACCCAGGGCTAGCTAGATCAGTGACCAATAAGAGGATAATTTATGGTGTTTAAAACAAACACCTTTTGGACCTTAACTATGTTATTTATTTATTTATACATATTCCTCCCTTGAGTCCACCCAGCAGCATTCAAACTGCATCCCTGCAAAAGATGCCCCTTTTTAACTTTTTGAAATAACTGATAAATTTAATCTCTAATCTTTAGTCTGTCGGTGCGCCCCAGGGAAGCTGTGGCTACATCGTAGCTCATCACCATCAGTGTGTGAATGGATGAATGATACACTGTAGTGTAAAGCGCTTTGGAGTCCTTACTCTGAGAGGCGCTATACAAGTGCGGGTCATTTATCATTTAAAGAAATAAAAAGAATATTTTGGGCTCCTCAAACAGAAAAACTAAAGGTAGAAGTGAGAATGTGGTTTTCAGGCCATCCTGACTTATTCAGATTCCCGGGTTTGGGTCATGCCGATAAAAGTGAAGTAAGTTTGTGAGGTTGGTCATAAAAACAGGAGCTGTTGCTGCTTCACAGACAGAAACGTTGGTGCTGATGCCATGAGATCCTCGTGTTGTCGAGGCCTGAATAACCTCACAAACACCAAAACCACAGAAACTCATTTGTGGGGAGGAAACAGATACCACATCACAGGGAGGAGATAAGAGCAATTTCCCTCCCTACCTCCCCATCTTGTGTGCCAACGTCCCAAAGATGTTGGTTCCAATAAGGTAGGAGATGGATGCAGGGAGAAAAGCAACGCCTAGGCGACAAACAGACACACCACAGAGTGAAGTTGGGAGGACTTCTCAGATCAGGAGATTTCTATCAGTGCTGCTGTACATCTTTCATTGTCTGTAATGAAGTCTCTTTCTACCTGCCAGCATGTGACACCCTAATATCCTGTTCCCCTCTCGTCCTTTTATCTGACCCAGACTTCATAAACAACTGAGAGCAGAAAAAAAAACTAATAACAGCAAAGATGGCTGCAAGGCGAGGTTAGCGAAGAGCAGCTGAGTGAAACGTCTCTGCAACCGGAGTTTAATTAGACACGCGTGTTTGTGGTTCAGCTGATTAAACTACACGTTTGAGTCGGCCACGCCTGACAGGACCCAGGATGCAAACAGCTAAACCTTTCTCTACAGGTAGGATTCCTGGATTTCAGCCACTTTCTGTCTCTGCCATCCGTTTTCCTGCTCATCCTTCATGGTGTATTTCTGCTGCCGACAGATTCACCAATCACTGGTCCTCCACGCCTGTGCTGTTGCTCAGAAGCTTCTGACATGAAAAGGCTTTAAATCAAGCAGCAGCAGCACAGTAGGGAACAGGTGAGAGGCGGGGTTTCACCTGGACAGGTTGGTCCACCACACCATGACTAGAAATAAACAGCTTGCTGTGTTTTATGCAGTTCTTATAGTTTGTTTAGTAGTTTGTGTTTTTACGGTGGTTTAAACATTAAACCTATAGACGTGTTTACACGACTACGATCAGCCTTTTCTTCTGTCTCCAATTACAACATAAAATGTTATAATTCAACTAAGTAATTATTTTAAAAATCCTTTTAAAACATTTCAACAAGTGTGACAAAACATCAAAAGGATAAGGAGCAACTTTAGCAGACTCCTCTGAAAACCCTCCTAGTTTTTATTCCAGGAGGACATTCAGTGTCTGGCTCTTTGTCCCGCTATTGTTTCTAAGGTGAAAGCAAACATGTTGTGTCTCTTTTGTGTGTTATAAATACCTAGCTGCCATTTCCTGGCACACATGGTCTCCATCATCCAGATTGGCAGCGTCGGCTCCATCATGGCGATCGCCATATTTCCAAAACAGATCGCACCTGGGATGAAGATGAAAGGATAAGAGCTCTGAGTGCTAATTAGGACCTGCTCTTTTTCTCTGGTGCTGATGTGTTACTCCAAACCACACACACACACACACACACACACACACACACACACACACACACACACACACACACACACACACACACACACACACACACACACACACACACACACCCACACACACACACACACACACACACACACACACACACACAGAGGCATACACACACATGCACACATGCACACACACACACACCTGAATGGACTGACTTATTGTCTGATTTGTATATTTAGTGTTTCTGCTGGCTGATCCACGTCCAGCTCAGCTGTGCAAACATCAGGTCTGTTGTCGTTTAACAGAAACGTGTCATCATCACCATCATGAAGAAGTGAACTCTATCTGACCTTAACTCTGCGTTTCAAATGGCCACAGTCGAGTTTCATTGTAGCTAAAATCTACACTACTATAATAATAATATAATAATAATAACAATAATGCATTTAATTTATAGGCACCTTTCAAAACCCAAGGTCACCTCACAAAACATGATAAAACTTACACAAAAATAAGAATAAGGTCATTTAAACAATAGAATTACAAAGAATATACAATAAATTACAGAGTGGAGAGTTTGTGGACTAGAGAGTGTAAGTCAGGTTGAACAGGTGAGTTTTGAGTTTGGATTTGAATGAAAGGAGGGAGGGAGCAGAGTGACTGAAAGCTCTGTTTCCAGCGGTGGTGAGACGAGCAGGGGGAACCACAAGGTGAACGGCAGAGGAAGACCTGAGGGAGCGGGATGGGACAGCAACATGGATGAGATCAGAGAGGTAAAGGTTGGTTTATGCTTGACGCGTCTGCGAGGTCCGCACGGCTCCGCGCGGAAAAGTTGCGCCATTTTAACAACCACGCCCCTCCACCACGTCTCCGCACGGCCCAAGATTTCCGCAACGCGCACCTCGGAAAAAGCTTGGTTTATGCTTGACACATTCACTTTCCGCGCGGTGATGCGGCTCGCGGATGGAACGCGCTTCACAACTCGCAGCTTTTATGGTTCGTGCGGCTCGTCTCTGCGGTGAACCAATATTCTCCCAAACTGAACGGGGCAGCATGGAGCTCTACGGCATGCATCCAACACTACACCATAGTAGAAGTAGAAATGACTGTTTACAACATGACATTCCAGCATTTTTAACAGCGTTCTCGTCTTTTCCGACAGTGCGAGCTATTTCTCTCCAAGAATTATTAACATGTTGATCACGGTGATCTCTGAGAGCTGAATCATACAAATGTCTGTATTTACGAACCTCTGCCATACTAGTTCTTGCCGGTCCGCCATGTTTTTCCGCGTCCGTCTGTCCACGTGGTTAGAAATTTTCCAAGGTGCGTGTTGCGGAAATCTTGGGCCGTGCGGAGACGCGGTGGAGGGGCGTGGTTGTTAAAATGACGCAACTTTTCCGCGCGGAGCCGTGCGGACCTCGCGGACCCGTCAAGCATAAACCAACCTAAACTTCTAACCACACGGACGGACACGGAAAAACATGGCGGACCGGCAAGAACTAGTATGGCAGAGGTTCGTAAATACAGACATTTGTATGATTCAGCTCTCAGAGATCACCGTGATCAACATGTTGTTAATAATTCTTGGAGAGAAATAGCTCGCACTGTCGGAAAAGACGAGAACGCTGTTAAAAATGCTGAAATGCCATGTTGTAAACAGTCATTTCTACTTCTACTATGGTGTAGTGTTGGATGCATGCCGTAGAGCTCCATGCTGCCCCGTTCAGTTTGGGAGAATATTGGCTCACCGCAGAGACGAGCCGTACGAACCATAAAAGCTGCGAGTTGTGAAGCCCGTTCCATCCGCGAGCCGCATCACCGCGCGGAAAGTGAATGCGTCAAGCATAAACCAAGCTTTAGGAGGGGCAAGAGTGCATACGTTTGTAGGTGAGAAGCAGGATTTCGAAGGAGATTCTGTGTTCAGTATACTGGAGACGCTGAAGAACAGGGCTGATGTGATCTCTGGAGGAGGTACGAGTGATGATGCGTGCAGCAGCATTTTGGAGAAGTTGGAGCCGATGAAGGGATTTATGGGGGAGACCAAAAAGGAGAGTTACAGTAATCAGTCCTAGAAGTGACTAGGCTCTGTATGAGGATGGCTGTAGCATGAGGAGTGAGAGAGGGGCGGAGTGGGCTGATGTTGCATAAATGAAAGTAGGCTGAGCCAATGATGTTGTTGATGTGGGCTTTGAATGATGGAGTGCTGTCAAGGATGACGCCAAGACTCTTTACATGGGGGGGGGGATGGAGGAATTATCGATGTTCATTGATATGCTGGGAGATTTGTTCAGAGTGGAGGGTTTCGCTATGGGCAGAATTTCAGTTTTATTGTTTCAGGAAGTTTGAAGAGAACCTTGATTTCATCTCAAGGAAACAGCTGGACAGGGAGGCTGGGGGGAAGACTGCATCGGGTTGAGAGGAGATATAGACCTGGGAGTCATCTGCATAGCAGTGGAAATTTATCTTGTATTTGCGAAAGATTTGGCCAAGTGGAAGAATGTAGATGATGAATAAGAGAGGTCCAAGGACAGAGCCCTGGGGAACACCAGCAAAAACAGCAACAGGGTGAGAAGAAAAGGATTTTAATTGAACAGACTGGAAGCGGCCAGTGAGATAGGAGGAGAACCAGGCGAGAGTGGTGTGGGTGATACCAAGGGAAGCCAACCGGTCAAGAAGGGTTGAGTGTGAGCCGGTGTCGAATGCTGCACTAAGATCAAGGAGGATGAGTAGGGAGAGAAAACCGGAGTCAGCTGCCATGAGAAGGTCATTTGTGATTTCAACAAGAGCAGTTTCTGTGCTGTGTAGAGGGCAAAAACCCGACTGGAACTGTTCAAAAAGGTTGTTATTGTTGAGGTGGGAGATGAGCTGAGAAGCAACAACTTTCTCAAGCATTTTAGAGATGAAAGGGAGATTAGAGATTGGATGAAGTTCATTGACGTTATTGGGATCAGAGCCAGGCTTTTATAGAACAGGTGTGACAGAAGCTGTTTTGAATGCTGAGGGAACAGAACCAGTTGTGAGGGAAGAATAGATAATAGATGAGATTAGAGGGACTACGGAAGGGAGACAGTCTTTAACGAGAGAAGTGGGGAGAGGGTCAAGTCTGCAGGAGGAGGGTTTGGACTAGAGTTAGGTCAGAAACATGGAGGGAATGGTAAAAGCTGAACGTGTCTGAATGGGAGGCAGAGAGGAAAGATGGAGTTCTATAGGAAAGGAAGTAGATTGTTTGGTGTCCAGCTGTTGGTGAACAGTGGGGAGTTTTTTATTTAATTACAGAAGTAATCAGAGTAAAAAACAGAGGGGAGTGAGTCGGGTGGGCGGGTAACATTGTTGAGAAGAGAAAAAAGAGACCTAGGATTAGAGTTTGAGCAGCTTAAAGCAGAATAAGAAGAGGATTTAGGAACGTAATAGATTTTTGTAGAAAAGGATGTGATTCATGAACCGTGAGACCAGTTTTTTTGTAGAGGCGCTCAAGTTGTTGTCCTTTTACTTTTAGTTGGCGAAGAGTGGAAGTGAGCCACGGGGTTGAGCGGGAAAAGGAGACAGCACGGTGTTTTTCAGGAGCAACTGGGTTCAAAAGGTCAGAGAGGTAGTGGTTGTAATGGGAAACCAGGCCATCAGGAGACATGGGGTCATTTTGACGAGGAAGGTCCCGGATAGCGGCGGAAAAAGAGTCAAGGTGAATGTCCTTGATGTTCCTAAAGGTGATGTTCCTAGTGGTGGAGATTTAGCTACTACTACAGATGCTCTGTGTCGTCTCACCAGCAGCAATTAAGATGTAAGGATCCTTCATGAGAGTGAAGAGCGACGTCCCCTTCTGACTCTGGGAGAGGAAACAGAAATAATCCCACATTAAACAGAACAGAAACAGGGTCAGACAAGTCATTTCTTTTATATTAATGATGCATTTTATTTGTCTTTCTGCTCGTTTTTACTTTTCAGCTTTTTTTCAGTCTCTTTCCCGCTAGAATTTCACAATAAAACAAAACTGAGGCCTCAGGAGGATAAAATATATAAATATTATTTCATTTAATAAAGAAAATAAAAATAAAAGCTGCCTTTAATGTTTACTGAGCTTAGTCTGATGATATCTAGTCTCACCACCTGCTCCCTCCTCTAACCAGATGTGATAATTCAATAGAACAACGACTTTGTTTACCAGCAGCTAGAGCTCATCCATTATTCATGTCCTAAATAAAAGAACTATAACAGTTGTGCTGAGGACAAGGTACAAAAACAGCCTAAACCAGGTGAGATATTTGTTAGTAAAGGTTCCGTGAAGATCCAGATGTTTACCTCTGGTTCCACTTTAGTCGGCTGAAGAACAAAAAGCTGTAGAGCTGTTGAGACACAAGGACGTCAAATTAAATGATTCCTTTATCATTAAAAAAATCGATTATTTAAAAACTCAACTTCTGTCCAAAAATTCAACCATACCTCCATCGAATAACGCCAGGAACGCCAGGATAAGGAAAGGAGCGGTTTTCCCAACAAAGTCATACATCACACTTCCAAATGGGGGTCCAACTGGAGAGGACACAGGTTAGTTAGGGATGATATTTCTGGTGTTTATGCATCAGTAAAAGAGGCAAAACAAGCACACCAATCAGCTGATCAGCAGAAACGCAACAACAAAAACAGGATGAGCTCAGACGGAGGAAGGCTGATCTGTGAGGCTTTTATTTTGGTGGGCAGCTTCTGTATTTCACTGTTAACTGGTTAAAATCACATATTTATCTAGAGGGCAAATTCGAACCTAAACTTCATGGATCTGATTCTTTATATTTATTTTAATGTATTCAGGGTTCGTCTCTAAACGATGGGTGAGTCTATGAACGTTAGTGACAGTGTGACGTAGATCTGTCAGGATTTTCTAATCCTAGAGTTTCACCGTCTGTTTTCTACCTGAAGCTAATGCAGGAGACAGGTGTAGGAGACTATTTTCATGTTCAGCCTCAGAGTGACCCGTTAGAATCAGAGATAATCAGTAAAAAACGTTTTTTCAGTGAAGATGGTCGTTATGCTTTCCTTTTACCATCATCATGACCGGTCCATGACTCCTAAAGATGTGCTGCTGACATACGTACCCAACACTCCCAAAGCCAGACCTCCCAGGGCGATGCCGATGGCATGACCTCGTTCTTCATCATCTGTATACACACTGGCAAGCATTCCCATACCTGAAACACACAGAATTCTGCACATTCAGCCCAGGTGGGACCCAGGTAGTTCCGAAGCTCCCTGGAGCAGGACCAGGGATGGATGACATCATTCGCCCTGAGATGCTGAAGGCTCTGGGTGTTCTGGGGACGTCAAGGCTGACACGCCTCTACTGGACTGTGGCCAGCGCCTGACTAAACTGTTAGTTCCAGTATTAAAGGAATGAGGCGGTGGAGAGGATGTTCCAACTTTCCACTAATTTCCTGCCTTGGAAAGTTGCTCTAGGATGGGAAGGAGGCAGTGTGGCGTTCTTCCCGGTCATGGATATGAGGACCATCTTTATCCTTAGAGACCCAAAGGGTTCAGATGAAGGCAAATGGACTTCTTTGGTTCCAGTTGCCTTCATCTGAACCCTTTGGGTTACCATGACCTGGATGACTGAGAACCTTCACCAGCACACATTGGAGGGTGTCTGAAGTTTGCTTGTCCAGTCTTTTTATGGACCTGCAGGATTTAGATGGTGTCCCCTGAGATGCTGTCTCTGCACAACCAAAGCAAGAGCTGTGTCCAGTCTTCTCAAAGTCAGGCTCGGTCCTGGTGCTGGTTGGACACCAGCAGGACGTCGTCTTCATCCCTCGTCCTGTTTCTGGTGTTCATGGGAGCTGGGTGTAGAATCCCGGGATCTTTTCTTTCCTTTTTGCAGATGTTGTGATTCTGTTGCCGTAATGAGGTCATGACCTTCAGTGTGATCTGGAGCGGTTCTCAGCTGATCGGGAAGTGGACAAGGTGGAGGAGAGATGGACCAACAGATCAGAGCTTTGTCTGCAGTCACTGGTGGCTTTTCTTCCATCTGTCGTGGTGAAGAATGGACTGAACCTTCGGACCTTATCCTATGTCCTTATGTCCTAACATGGACATCAGGCATATTTAATGAGGGCATTTATAACTCTATCATTCTTTATGACATGTAGGCTGCAGGTAACCACATTAAACTGCAGAATTTGTGTCACCAAAATGTTTTGACGTCAGTTACAGAGTAGAGGGTAGCTGACTGGATGTTGTGTCCATCACAAGGACAAGAAGAGACAAAGAGACAGTACCAGCCACGGATGAGCAGGAGGAGCCCACGCCCTGGAGAGATCTGGCCAGAAACAGCAGAGCGTAGCTGGAGGAGAAGGCGAACACTTGAGAAAAAACAACAAGAATCATCAGAGCAGAAGCAGGTTTCATGATTCTGGTCCAACATCAAAGAAGGCATGGAACTTACTGATGGTGGAGAGGAACATGATGCAGAAGCCAGCAAATATCGGGAGTTGGTACCCTATTCTAAAACCACCCAGAGGACAGAAGACAAACATCAAGGTTTTAGCACGGGTTTTTACTCAAACACAATGAATTCAAATGGACATGAGAACAAGAGAGAACAGGAAAGCAGGAATCAGAGGGAACAGCTTGTCAGATCCCCGTGGATCTCACACACTTCACTTACCTTTCTCTGTCCTCCTGAAGGTGACTCACAACCATTAATGGGACTGTGTTCTCCTCAATTACTGCTCTGTGAGTGCCCATCTAAGACACTGGTGTTAGGGGACATGTGAGTGTGGCTGCAGCAGCAGCAGCAGCACCCCACATCTGCTGGTAAAGAGGGTTGAAGGATTTGGTTCTTCTATTGACGTGCTACAGGCTCTTTTGGGCTGATTTTCATGGCTGATATCAGGACCTTTCAAGTTTAAAGATCACCAAAACATCAGTTCTGAAGCTGAATCTGGTTTTGAACACTGACTTTTGCCACCTGGTAAATCTTAATTTTGTGCACGGCTCACTGCTAAAATCAGACTTAAAGTTCATCAAACAAATCAGTAAATCGAACAAATACTAAAAGTTCAAAACTGGTAAATCAAAATAAAATTGAAAATTATGAAATAATGAAATAAGTTTAGAGCATTTATTGTGCAGACTTTATTCAGGAACATAGCTGCACATTTAAATACAATTCTGCAGCTGCACCAGGCTGCCTGGGGATGCGCCCGCCTGTAAATCGGTCTTAATAAGGAGGAACATCAGCAAATATCGATATTTATAATGTAATAAACATTAGCCTGATATATCGGTCTACTCCTAGTTTAAAATCCTTAGTTTAATGTCTGAATTATGTTATGTTAAGTAAAGTTTTAATGAAAAGAACTGTAGCCTCCGGAAATGGTCTGTTTTTCCATCTACAGGTCACCTCTTCAGTATCGGGCCACATGAAGACATAAGTCTTAACCGGGGCTTTAATCTGCATCTGAAAGATACTGTTGCCTCACCAAGCTCCCTCTTATCTAAGACTGCTTCGCTTCACAGCACAAGATGGATGAACTTTCATAATGAAATCATATATTGAACAAGACGGGTAAATAATCATATGGTTGAATGAACAAAAATGGTTGATGAATAATAACAATGTTTTGATTAATCTGTGCTAAAATTACTGAGGATGTTATGATCAGTAAAGTTAGATTTAACAAGTGAATTGCTATCTACTGACAGCTCACACACTCAGACACGTGACGATGACAAGGTTAAGCTAACATCATGACACGTTGCTTTCTGTTCCACCAATCAGAACGCCTGTATCTGACGCAAGGCGTGTTTTCTGAGGTTTTTTGGTAAAACCATTTTTACATGTCAAATTCTGATTTGTTAGTAAATCAAAATATGACGATCATTAAAACAGAGCTCACTTCACCGCAAGTCAGTTCTTGAGAAAGCTTCGGACCGGCCATCCGAGCAAAGCCTCTTTAACCCAGAGCATCTTTTGACAAGCTGTCAAAAACCTGTTGCACGCTACAGCTGACCACAAACGGTTCCTTCAGAAAAAAGTGGAACCACATTCAACTCCTCAAGAGTTATTCCTAAGACGCAAATAACAACTGTCGTGACCTGGAAACATCTCGAGACCGGTCTAGTCGGCACTGCGGTTTTGTCTACGGACGTCGGTACCTCTGGGGGCCCCGGACCTCAACACATTCCGGATCTACCACGGGGGTCTTTGAGCTGGTACGTAGACTCGACTGCGTCTGATGTGGTTTTATAAACCATCACTATAGTTTATAGCAGATCAAATTCACTCGCACTCAGAACTCAGTTTCTTCAGATATGAAGGTTCTGATAACATCACATTCACACATCCTCACTTAGATTCATTCATCACATGTGTTTCCTAGCTGTTGTGTTTTTAATTATTTAGAAAATAAATTTCTTACTTTTGATAAACTTGACTCTCTCTGAATTAATACGACGCGTCTGACAATCCCTAAATAAACAAAGAATTCTAAATCTTCTGGTTAAACATTCAAAGACCAACCAGACTGGAGTTTCATATTTATATAGAAATTCACATCTTATTGGTCAAATGTAGTTTAGTGTACTGAGTTTAAAAAGCACCCAAAATAAATACGTATGCTACCCCTACAGAGCAAAGGATGAGTAAATCTCTGAGGCTGGATCGGTGTATCAGCTCATCTCAAAACATGACCACATCAGCTGATCAATCAGCTGTTTTTCTGGGTGTAACTAAATCTCTTGAGAGCTTCTTATCTAAAGCACTTGAATGTCTTTGCTGCTTTGTCTGCAGGTCTCTTTTTTCCTCTCAGCCCCTCCTTTTGTGACAGAATCACCAGCTTTAGCCGTGGCTGCTAAACGCTTCACTTCTGGTCTTTGTCAGACAGTTTCTGCCCCGCAGGTATTACTTTTACAGGTTTTGGACATCTGGAAAACCTCAAAGCTGTAAAGTTCTGCTCTGAGCGTGAACACAACATCCATAACGGCCATATTAGATTCTGTCCCGCAGCACAACTATTCAGCTAGGCTGCAGTGACGTCTTCTCTCCACGACGCCAGTAACAGTTCTGGTCATTGGATATGAGTTCTGCGTCATTCTGCAACATGCAACAGCTTTCTGCATTTTAAAGAGTGTTTCTTTTATCGGGACCCCTCTCTGAACCGTGTGCACATGCAGATTTCTGACATTATCCTGATTATTTAGTAACTGGGGCTGCTGCAGCAGACAGAAGAAGCAACGGTTCAGGGAACAGCAGCAGGTGAGTCTAATTGGCACAAAATGTTACTCCTCAGCCTCTTTATCTGCTGTGTGCCAAGGCCTGTAAGGACAAGCAGAGCCCTGTCGCTTCCACAGTGTTCTGTGAAAAGCAAATTAAAATCCTCAGAATGAGGAAATCTGCTATTGTTGCCCCGTAGCCGGCCGCTACACTCCCTCCCTTCAAATACCTAAATGTGACTCTCTGACCCTGTTCTGTGATGTAATAATGCAGGTGATATTTTCCCCTCCCATGCAATCTGCAGCAATACAACATTTACACGAGCTATGAGCTGTCGTCAACATGAAAGCACCCATTTCCCAGCATGCACCACGAGGTCACGCAGGAAGAACCTCACTGATTCCTGGACTGCCTTCTACTCAGAAAAAATGTCAACAGCTAACAAATCCTAAACTCGCCGTGAGACGTTTACAACAGTCGAGTAGAACTGGAGACACTTTAAAAGATGGCGGGAGCTTCGTGATCTACGAAAACTAACGAAGAGTTGTCAAAGTTTCTCTTGGAGAGGCAACTACTGAGTAATTTATTGTATTTTAGAAAATTTCAACTGAAATGTTATTTAAATAAAAGAAACAATAACCTCGATGTGAGCACTAGCTTGAATGCTAACTGCCAAGCTAAGTGGAGGTGGAGGGATTAATGTTTTGTGTGTTGGAGCTGAGTGATTAGCGTAGCTTTGAGCCACATCGGACTTTTGTTTTAGCGCCCTCTGTTGGCTCAGCGTTCCCTAAGCAGTAAGCGTGGCTTTCAGCTCCTTCCAGAGGAGGACGAGGAGCAGGAGCTACTGCCGTTACCAGCAAAATCTCCTCCTCCTCTCCTTGATGACGTCACGGTACGAACCACAGCTTTTCCTGCAAACCTCAGTTATCCCAAAACAACTGACCATGGAAACATCAACGATGGAAAGTGACTGGTATTCCCGTCAGAACCCCGTCACGTTCCCATGTACAGACAGATTGGGAAAAGCAAATCCACAACGTTCAAAGAAAATATGAATCTGGTGATGTTCTGGCCCGAGATGACCTGCTTAAAGGTTTCCAAGGGCGTTCCGTGTTAGGGCTTTGAGAATTCCAGAGAGGGCCAGCAGACCAATCAGGACTGTTCCAGTCAGGGTCAAGCTGAGCCAGGGCGGCTCTGTCAGGCAGGTGAATTTAATTCCCAAGCAATGTGTTTGGATTTGCAGCCACATCTGGTTTGGTAATGATCTTCTCCAGACAGAAAGCATCTTAACAGGATGAATACATCTGTGTTTCTGGGAAGCGTTTTTATTCCCAGTGATTTGTGGTTCTGCGTTTAATGGTTTGTTGCAGCAAACAGCAGGTTGGGACAGGATGGCTAACAGCTCCGCCTCCCCGAACCTCCTCATGTCCAGCATCAGTCGTCGTCAATTCAAACCAGTGACTTCCTGGTTTTACTGGTTAAATCACGTTTCAGAGGGTTTTAATGTTTCCCTGCATATGAATATAACAGCATGTATAATCTGTGTAAACACAAACAAATCTGACTTTCATTTAGAAACCGCTCGTTTAGTCCAGTGAGACCGTTTACACTCCAGTAGGAGTGTTTGTCTGAGAGACTCCAGTGGTGTAAAAGGTTAACAGTGGGTGTGCCCTTATTTTGAAAACCTGATACAGCTTGTGTTTTATGGTATCAGAAGGAATCATTTAAGTTTCTCTGCTGAAGGAGGCAAAAGCTGGATTCGCTTTGAGACGTGGAACCAACAATTATTTCTACATGTCGTAATCGAAACGCAGTGGGGCCGATCGAGCTTCCGAGTTCAACCGCTGCCGTCTGGAGCACACACCTGATTTTAACCACCAGGTGATCATAGTTCATACACCTGGACTAGCTTTTATTTATATCTCTGAGACCAAGCTTAGTCTAAATAATAGTTTATTTATGAAGAAAATCAACAGTAACTGTTCCACTATTAAATGATAAACTGGCTTGCCAAAACCATCCATAACTTCTTAAAAAACAACAAATTTCACTTTCCTTTTTGTTTTTGTCTCTTTTCAGCAGCGTGGCTGAAAATGTTGTTGGTTTAAATCCGTGTTGTAAAACACCTTTAAATAATGTTGAACAAACAAACAAACAAACAAACAAACAAACAAACAAACAAACAAAGGATCCATGCTTCAAGTTAAGTCAGTATATGATAAGATCCCCAGTATCCATGGTAACCTGATGCTTCATCCATCTGTGCATGAGACAACAGAGACGTCCTGTCGTCTCATGATGGAGTCGTCAGACACCACGAGTTAAAAAGCTAACTAACTAACTAACTAACTAACTAACAGTGTTTTCCTCTAAGATCAGTGATGTTCTAGAGTTAGCAAAGTTTTTTTTAAATGTATTAATTAATTTAATTTATTTATTTAATTATTCATTTCATATTCCTTAAATCTAAACTGGGACAGCTGTAGCTCAGGAGGTAGAGCGGGTTGTCCGGTAATCAGAAGGTTTCAGGTTCAATCCTGGCTCTGACCTGAGAATGGTGTCCTTGGGCAAGACACTTAACCTGCCTCGGCTGCTGCTGGTGGTCGGAGGAACGGCAGCCTCGCCTCTGTCGGTGCGCCCCAGAGCAGCTGTGGCTACATCGTAGCTCATCACCACCAGCATGTGAATGGGTGAGTGACTGATTGTATTGTGAAGCGCCTTGGGGGGCTGTAGAACCCTGAGAAGGCGCTATACACATACAGACCATTTACCATTTAAACTGACTTTTGTTGTTTATTAATTTTCTTATTTTAAGTGTTTATTTTTGGCCAGGCTGTAAAAAAAGTCCCGAACAAAAACAATCTGAGTTTAAATGAATGAATGTTTTTAAGTTTCTTATCTGAGATCAAATCTTCACACCTGTAAGTTTGTGGATCCTAAAACGTAATTAGAGCTGTTTCTGAGGCTGTTAGCTAACATTCGTCTACAGAACCAGTAACAGAACCAGTAGACGGGTTCTGACCTGTTGGTGAGCGGTCCGATGAATGGGTTGGTGAGCAGCTGCACTGTGGCTTTGGAAGCAAACAACATTCCCACTTTTACATTTTCATTCAGCAGCTTTTTGGAGAACCGGGGGCAGTCGGAGGAGTTCTGTAGCAGCTCAGAACCAGCTGGGGTGGGAGGAACCGGGTCGGCGGACCGGGTCGTGGAGTTGAAGCCTGACTGCTTGACGCTGTTGTCGTATAAAGACACGATGGAGCGAAATGATCTTGCAGGATCCTGCTGGTGCAGCAGGCTGTTGTTCCTCACGGCATCTGCTGACTCATCCAGGTTGTACAGGTAACTGGGAATGATGGGAACTGGTGGGAAAAGAGAGGAGGAGGACAGTGAGGATCCAAGATCTCCAAGCATCCAAAGAATCAAATTAAAGTGATTTCTGAATAGAAGTCTTTGGTTTGGGGTTAATTTCTGGCTTTGAAGTTTTGGGAAGACGTTAGTGAGAAGGTCAGGAGGTGAAAGGAAAAACGATCGTAGCAAATACAAATGAACGAGTGGTTTTCTGGAGGAAGAACGAGTCTGTGGCAGCAGACAGGATGTTAATAAGCGAGAAGGAAAAATCACTCAGTAGCTCTAAAAACTAATAAATAACATCATAGTTTCATTTTTAGGGTCAAAGAACAAAGTTAGGTCTCATCAGCCTCTTTTGTAGAAGAAATCCTTATTTTCAGTAACTTGATGTTACAGAGACTAGCTGAACTCTTTATTAAATACAAACTCAGTTTTATGCTTAAATTATAGAATAATGTTCAGTAATAACATCTGTTGTATTATTTATATGATTGAACTTTGACCTGTTTTAGTCCAGCATCAACATAAATCTACAGGATGTTTTATTTTAGCTCAAAGTTTCCTTCAATCCAAAAGACTAAAATAAAAGCAGGCTGTCTCTGATGAAACGTCCTTTAATATTCATAACTAGCCTTCAGGAGCTTTTCTACAGTTGTTTATGCAGATTAAATGTAATTTTATAGAAAAACCAACTGGAAAAAACACAATTAATGCCTGAAAATCTCTTAAATGAATCTTGCGCCTCGGCCGTGGTCCCACGGCAGAACTCGTCTGTTTCATAAGGGATCAGAGGCTAATTGACCAAAACAAGAATTACTTTTAGGATGTTCATGCTGCTTGATCTGATTTACATAAAATCAGACCAGATGATTTAAAGACGGCTGTGACACATTTACCAGTTTATCATGTTTAGCTCTCAGCTCAGCTCTCGTCTCTTCGGAGGGAAAGTTAGGAGACTGGAGCAACCTGGGATAATTATTTATGGATCAAGACCCAATTAACTTGGGAACAAAGACAGAAACACCAGAGAGAACCTACCGACCACCGTCAGCAGCATGTTGTCCAGGAGCAGAGCCACAAAAACAATGAACAGAATCAGTTTCCTGGACTGCCGCTCTTCTCGGAGCCACTGGAGAAATCTAAATTGTCGGAGAGCATCTAACCCTCCCATGGTGTCAGTCCTGAACAGGCAGGTCCTCCTGAGGACGCAGAGGTCAGCAATAGGTCAAGAAATCAGAAAAATCCTGAAAAATGGGAGAAGTTAGAAGGAAGGACGAAAGAATGAGAAGTGAGAGGAAGTCTTACCTCAGGAGAGCAGGGAGCAGCAGCAGAGATGGGAGGAGGAGGAGGAGGAGATGGTCCTGCTGCTGACGTCACACCTCCATCTAACCCCCCCGTCATGTTCACAAGCCCGTCAGGCCTGTCATCAAACAGTCAAAGCACAGATGCTGCATCAGAGAGCAAACAGCAGAACAACACGGTGGAGCTGGTTCTACCTGCTGCGGTTGTCATGACGACGCTCAGCATCCAAACTCTACAAACAAAGAAACATTTTCCACATCGCTGTCGGGAAAAATCTCAGAAACATGCGGAGTCTTTAGGAAAGTCGTGCTTTCAAATCCAAACAGCTGTCTGGAGTCACTTTTAGCTTCTGGTGGTGAAAACAGGAATCGTCACCTTTTCACACTCATCTACTCACAAAGTTGGTTTCTGCAACCTTCTAATCCAGACAGCAGCAAAACAGAAGTAATCTAAGAGATCTTCTATCTAACATCTCAGGTTCCTCTCTGGGTTCTGCTCACAGACCATCACAGGGCCGCCACACAAGGGTTCCTGTGACCCGCTTTCAGTCCCTCTGAAACATTCTTATTAGAGTTCAGCCTTTAAGTTTAGTTTTAGAATTTTGATTTTGAATATTTAAAAACTGTTTGATTAAAGCTAATCAAGTAAAAATGATTTAATTTTCATATATTTAGATTGCATTTGAAAAGCTTAGTTTTAACAAGACTTTTTGTCCCTAATTGTAGTCGAGTATTTTTTTTATTAGTATTACTTTATTACTGGTGCCCCGTACAAACATCAGTCCCCTTCTGGATATTTACTCTCAAAAATAAACAACCTATACAAACATGATGCCTCAGGTGTGTTTCCCTGGCTAGTTTAGCCAAAACAGGTAAAAGAGTGACATCTGCTGGTCAGACTGTGGAATGACATGGAGGAGCTGAAACCTCCAAAAATGAATTTATTTCTGTTTAATGTAAATAATTTAATCCCAAACTTCAAGTGCATTTTTGTTTTTGTTTAATCACAAATAAACTGTGTGGTAGAAACAATAACATCCCGCATTTAACCCGTTAACTAGTCCAGTGGGTGGTTAATCACAGATAGATAAAATACTAAACTTACTTAGAAGGTGTTTGAATAAAACATTAAACAGGATTCTGTTCCACTATTGTTATTACGTTTCTGTTATTTATTTACATTATAAACTAACCTGGATGGCTGCATATGAACAAACATGTGAAAACATGAAGTTCTTGGTTTGGATGAAGACATTTTTAGGTTTGTTTTTGTGTAAAAGTTACGATTATTAATGATCTGACATGTAAACGGTCGGAGCACAGCTGCTAAAAACCAATCAGCATTAAAATGTCTTTTTATCTAACTGGCTTCTTTTCTCAGCGCTCCACAACAGCTCCGCCTGGTGGCGAGGGAATACTACTGCAGCGCATCACCAGGATGAAGTTTTATTTGTGAATAAAGATCCAATAAACTCAGGAAGTAACCCTAACCCACAGCAGCTCCTCACAGCTAAACCTTCTTTTTGTTTAAACCGAATTTAATTATCTTTCCTGCATGTTTGTTTATTAATCATTTCCAACCAACCACAGTAAACAGCTCGTTACGTTTCCTTTTTTGGGGGAGCAGTCAAATGTTAAATCCACACGACTTATGTTTCTGTTAGGATGCAGAAAGTTTCTTTGATTCATTCATAATAAAAATATATAAATTTCACACGTCAGAATTAAACGTGTCAAAGACACAGGTGATACAGGTGCAAAAATACTCCTGCTATGGTGGGATGAATGACAAGCCAGCTTAGCATTTAATGGTTAGATTGGGTCCAAACTGAACAGTTCCAGATATAAAAGGATTTTATCAATACTGAAAACAAACAAACCCCCTAAAATTTGCCTTGTTAGATCCTCCACAATGATGTTATTAGAAACGATAAAAAAGCTTTTAAAAAAGTGCGATATTTGATGAAATGACATCACAACACGCGTTCCGATAGGCCCAGTCCCAACACTCGACTGTGCCCGATGGCCTTCTGTGAGGTGCACTTGGAGAAAATGTGCTGTAAGGCTTCGAGTGCGTGGTACAAGTGTGCAATAATTGCTGAACTGGGACAGGGAGCAGTACGTCATCGACTGTAATGCATGTCGGGATGCTGGTCACTGAGATACTTTAAAAAAACCTTTATTAACAACTTTCAAACAAACAACCAAAGAATAATTTGAATTAAACTTACATTCATCGCTGCTTTGTCTAAAACATTCAGAGCACCAACTAATCGTCCTAAAATCAACAACTTTCATTTGAAATAGATATTTTCAGAAAAGGAACTTGAGCCTTTCCTCACGCAACAATGGATTGTGGGTAATATCCTTGGCCCAAGTCCGCATCGATTCTGACTTGGGTGAAGTGCGGATCAAGGGAGCAAAGGGGGCGTGGTCAATTTCCACACTTGAGAATCGGGACACCCTATGCACTCGCACCCCGGTCGGGATCGCGCAATTGAAGGGCGCAAGGGTGGAAGTGCGAGATATGGGATTGTGCCGAAGATTCATCCTCTCATCATAAACAATAAAATATAGAAAATTAAAGATGAGGAACGCAACAATAAAGGCTGCTACTGGAAGCTGCAGTCACTGATAAAGGTTTAATGGATTTATTTTGGTATATCATCATAAATATTATCATTTCTACTCCAGCCAGCCTGGTCCGCCATGCATACAGTGAACACGCCTATATCATATAAATGTTTTATTGTGTTTTAGGTTAAACTAATAAGCAGTGTGAGATGTAAAGGACGCGTTTTACCTGCAAGCTCTGCAGCACGTCCTCGCCCACCGACTACATTTCAGATGGAAACCAGCAGTGAAAGCGTTCCACACAGCTGGTCCCATGAGATCTGCAAGATCCTGCATGATGTCAGCAGTTCACGCAATCGCAGGCAAGGAGAAAGACGTCAGCATGTATCCTAAACTGTCTGTGCTCCATTTTCTGTTGTGTTTACCTCGGCTACGGAGGTTTCACAAGTAAAGGTGTACTGGAAATGTGCACATGACTTTTATTTAGAAAATTTCTGGATATTTTACACTGCTTTTTTGTTAGACTTCCTGTGTGGCACGTTCCGAATTGCTGAGTTTGAAATGATGAAAAATAGACTGTAAGTGTAAATTTGGCGCAGCGATGACACTACACTCCTGGGTGGTGTCCAAAACGCAACGATTCGGTGTCGGTGGACCAGCACCCACTGACTATAACGGTGGTGAATTGCTGCGTGCTAAGATTCGTGTCGCTTATGTGTGCAGTGGAATGGCCCGGTAATCCATGGTGTCGGAAACAGAAATCAAGCCTAGTCCTAATCCTAACTCCCACAGCTGGACCAGGATCCCATCGTTCTGGAAGCTAAATGGTCAGAAAGAGAACTTATGAAAGCCGGAGCGGTCGGAAGGTCTGAGAGCGTTTCTGTTTCACCTTCAGACCCAAAGTGACCAAATCAGTTTCTGATTCTCTGAACTGTCTGAATCAAAGTCAAAGTTCCAGAAATGTGCCTGAGAAGCTCTAAAAACACCGAGATAACCTGAGCCTTCGCAATACTTCATGATAAATATGCATTACATTCCAGACCGAGTGAATCGCCTGTAAAACCCCTCCAAGAAAACAATTCTCCCAATGTTTCGGAAGTAAAATAAGACGTTCTGGCTGAACGAGGCCTTCGCTGACTGGATAAAAGTGTTGGCACATGCACTTTCTTTAGTTTGCTCATGCTTAGGACAACATATTGGGACGGTGGAACTTGGCCCTGATGCAGAAGATCCTGCCCTCACTCAGTCCTTCTCTTCGTTTTCCAGAGTCTCAACGTTTCCTCTGCTGATGAACTTGATGAATTTTCTGTAGCAGCTGACGATTCTCGTCTGACTCAGCTTGAAAGCCATGGACATGATGGCCATGCCCACGATGATGAAAAGGGAGGTGAGCATAAAGAATTTCGGGTGTTGGGGTATGATGTCTCCAAACCCTATGGTGGTGAGCGTAATGAAGCAGAAGTAGTGGGAATCAAATCCTTTGAACTCTGTTTCCCAAAGCGGAAGAATCCACCCACCCAAACAAATGTAAGCAAAAACTACAAAAAGAATGAGCAGCAGAGGAACATCCAGCATCTCCATCTCCTCCCCCAACCCTGAGAAGTCCCATATGGTGTAACCACTGGGTGGTGAGGGCAGGCGGTCCAGCTCCGGGCAGGACAGGCAGCGCAGCAACGGGCCTTTCCTCAGCAGCTTCTCTCTAGCGAGAATCTTTTCAAAGATCTCTTTGTTGTTCTGGAGGCTGATGGACTTGTGTCGAACAGCTGCCTGGCTCTGCAGCACCTGCCGGATGTCCAGGGGTTCGTGGACCACAATGTCTTGGCTGAAAACGATGGTGCCGTCCTCTAGGGTACGATGGTGTGAATCCATCTGCTGAGCGCGCCATGGTGACCATGTTTTGGAGCGCAGAGCTTTGTAGAGTTTATGGATCTGACTGTAGGAGCTGAACATTACCACCGCGAGGAAGTCCCCCACATCCAGGATGACCAGCAGCATGAGAGGGATGCCCACCATGGCGTAGATGACACACACCACCTTACCTGTCAAGGTAACCGGATAGATCTCTCCATATCCTGCAACAACAGTGGGACACCAGAGACAAGAAGACGCTCGATGAGGCTGAGAGACACAAAACTTTACTTCAGTGTTGTCATTAAAAACGTCAGGAATTATTTTAAAGCTGCAACGGCAAATTTGGAAAACAAGCTAGATTAAAACTTTTTAACGTGCCTCTAAACAACGTTCTAACATCGCACAGCTGTAGATATATTGTAGAGATAAGAAAATGAAATCAAATGAATAAAGTGTTTCTCTCACATTTGTCTAAAAAGCTCCAACAACACGTTTCAGACCAACACCAACCATCGGACCATCCGGTTGTCGGTCTCACCGAACCGTCGCACCTCCCTGGGTCCTCCACTCATCACACACTCACGTGTTCAGCAGCAGAACACCACGGGTGTGTGAGGTTCTCCGCACATTAACATCAGAGGAGGAGAAACAGCCGGCTGCTACCGCTTCAGCTTTACAACGAACTACCAGAGTCCCAAAGAGAAAATCACTATTTGAGGTCACGGACAACAGAAGACGTTTGGACCTAGAAACGAGACTGGTGTTCAGTAGCCTGACCTGCCAGACTCGTCCTCCGTCTGAGCAGAGAACGAGTCTGGTGACTCACAGGCAGAGAACCACATGAGAGGCGGGACTAGCCAGCTCAAGAATGCCGACTGTACCACGCGACGCTGTCGTCAAAAATGGCGTCTGGCGACGGAGCAAACATCTTCCTTTAGAAGAAAGGCTTTTAGCGCTTCTACTTGTTGTTTTAAAAACGTTCAAGTCATTTAGACCAGAGGGAAGAGCCGCAGCAAACTCCGCTTCAGACGCCATCTTCGTTGTTTATGACAAACTGAGCGTTGTGGTGTGTGACGTACGCTGCTCAGCGCTGGCTCGGTTAGAATTCTCAGGGGGCAGGGCTATTTGAATAGGAGAGTTCCCCTGGCCGGGCTAGGTGTTTTGTGCTAAATCATTTCCTCTGGCGATGTGGGTTTTTGGTTCCAGTGGACGTGGATCCAATGAAGATACCCAAGGGGCATTTGCGTTTAAAACCTAGCTTGTTTACAGATTCGCTACAACAGCTTTAACTCAGAGTTTTTCTGTCAAACATAGAAACAGCTGATGGAGTTTTACCAAGATCTATAACTCCATCATATTTACTGTCTACCATCATTTTAAAGTTCTGAGCGATTTGCACGCTGTGAAAATGTTTAACCCTTTAGGGGAAACTCACTGAAGTACTAGTAAAGTAGTTTGAATAAAATGTAAAACTTTTAATGTTCAAAGATGTATTTGTTTCTAAGTACTGGTATTCAATACTTCAACAATGAACCCAATGAAATGACTTTAAAAATCTTTACAAATGTAGTCCTTTTTCTTCGATTTTTAAAACGTTTCTGTTTCAGGGCGCAAAACAAGCCTTTTTACACAAGTGATTGGCCCAATCCTAATCCCAACACTCGCACTTGCACCCTCCGTTTGTGCGTTCCCGGCCAGCGGTGCGAGTGCGTAGGGTGTCCAAATTCTCAAGTGCAGAAGTTGACCACGCCCCCTTTGTACCCTTAATCTGCACTTCACCCAAGTCCGCAGCGATGCGGACCTCGGGCAAGGTTATTACCCACAAGTCATTGCTGCAGGAGAAGAGGGACGTAAGTCAACAAAATATTTGAGTCTGTGAGGGTGCTGCGTCTCACACAGCAGTGCTGCAGTTCTAAATCGACAGTCAAAAAGCTCCAGAGTTGTTTAAAGAACCAAAGCCAGTAAACAGGAGCGACCCAGAAGGTGCTTCCTGTACCCCTAAGAACCCACACTGAAAGAAGTCTGTTGGATTCCCATAACTGAATCATGTATATTGCTGCATGAAACGGGATTACCGTAAATCCTCTAATACAGGCCCGGGCCTGTATTTGACTCAAGCTCATCAAGCTCCAGGCCTTTATTGGAAGGAGGACCAGTATTAGAGGCAGGCCTCTATTTCTATTTGAGCAAAATGAACTAATGGTTCGTTGGAGTTTTTGACAATTAATATTGCGCCCACATTTTCAAAGTTAAACACATTTCTTTTAACAACGGTAGTTTCTGCTTCAGCCCTCTCCCCCCTCCCCCTGCGCAGCGGCCGCAAACTCACTGATGCGCCTGCAGCCTCTCGGAGTTCCTGCTGCTCTAAACATAAAAATAATTATTTCATTTTCTGTTCCTCACTTCTGATTACCTTCAATGGTGTCTGGTTGTTGCAACCACCAGGTACAAAAACTAACCTGTTTTTATTTGACTATTTTTCTGTCCTGCCTGTTTATTATCTTCCTGCATCTCCTCTCAATCCTAAAGAGAAACTGCTACCTGGGTTCATATATATTCACCTTATGAGTTACCTTTGAACTGCAGTTCTAAAAGATCTACCGACGGGGCACACCTTGTCCTCCGACGCACTGATCACTGATGCGGCCGGCAAGCAGCGCGCACTCCGTTGTTTTTGCGGTCGGATCTGCCTCCTGAGCACGGCCACAGTAACAATCAGGTGTTGCCAATTATTTAACACGTGATCGTTCATGTCGGTTCATTTCTTTTGATGTTTTCTGTCTTTTATTTGCGCCTGATGTGTTTCGCTGCTGTGGAGCGGGGCACATCACCTTGTCCTCCGACGCACTGAAGGAAATGAACGACCGCGTGTTAAATAATTTGGCAACACCTGATTGCTACTGTGGCCGTGCTCAGGAGGCAGATCCGACCGCAAAAACAGCGAGCGCTCCCTGCTTGGCGGCCGCATCAGTGATCAGTGTGTCGGAGGACAAGGTGATGCGCCCCGCTCCACAGCAGCGAAACACATCAGGCGCAAATAAAAGACAGAAAACATCAAAGGAAATGAACCGACATGAACGATCGCGTGTCATTACCGACGCTCTGGCACAGCGTGTTGCCCCCCCCCCCCCAGCACAGGAGCTTGTCACCTGCTGACAGCAGGCTGCTGTCTTTTCCGAGGGCTGCATCTTGCCGGTCATTATCACGTGACAGCGACTAGTCGACAACAGACATAAAAAGTCATTATAGTGAAGTCGACTAGTTCATACAACCCCTATTGCTCCCCAGTGTTCTGCAGCATAATCAGCACGTTCTCTTTGAACTTGATATCAAATTTTCGCCTCCTCTTCGTCTCCGCACGGTTAAAGTTACCCTCGTGTCTATCACTGGCAAATCAAAAGTGATATGATGACACAACCGCCCCCGTACTTGCTTGTTACCACATTCCACCCGGCCACAATAAGAGACCGGCCATTATTCACCTCCGCTGGCTCCGGCACCGGCCAAAATTGGAGACCCGGCCTTTAATAGAATACCGGCCTGTATTGGAGGATTTACGGTATGTTTTGGTTTAGTACCTTCATTATATAACACCAACATGATAAAACCAGCTCAGTGGCCTAGTGGTAGAGTGTCCGCCCTGACACTGGGAGATCAGGGTTCAATTCCTGGTCGGGTCATACCAAAGACCTAACGCTTCCCTGCTTGACACTCAGCATTAAGAGGTTGGATTGGGGGATTAAACCACCAACTGGTTCCCGAGCGCAGCCGTGTCTGCAGCTCACCGCTCCTCCAGGGGATTGGTCAAATGCGGAGAACACAACTGATGGGACTTTAATCTTTAATAGAATGATCATGTTCTAATAACATGTATTTATCACACAAAATACATTAATATTATTTCCACAACATCACCAAAGCCCTTTTTCAGTGTGTCTGTGCCCTTATCTGTCTGCAGACCAGAGGTGCTTTCAGACTGTAGGAACCTTTTGTAGTTCCTAGAACCTTTTCAGGAACCAGCCCCTTTTTGCACGCGTTGGGACAGATAGGAAGTAGAAGGAACCTTTCCCTGTTCTTAGAACCATTTAGCTCCTACTGATGCAGACTTTCCGTGGTTCCTGAAGAACTAACGTGACGTTGGCGCTTGGTGAGCTACGCCACTTGTTTGATTTCCACATCTTCTCCGTTCCGAATCGCGTTTGTTTATTTAGAAACAGACTGCATCCCGGATATTCATGCTGCCGTCAGCGCACCTGTCAGGCTGATCAGACTGGATGAAGGAGACGAACAAGGTGAGACGTTTAACAGTTTTATTATTTCTCTGTGAGGAAGAAACGATGACTGAGATGAGAAGCCGGTCACGGCGTCTTCCATATATAGCCTTGCTTGGCTGTGACGTGGAGGGAATCCCCGCGAGGAGCATGCTGGGAGCTCCCCACGAGGGGCATGTCGGGAGTTGAGGTCCGAAGGTCAGCCGGGAGATACCTGAGTCCTGACAGGACCCCCCGGTCCAGGGACGGCTCCAGAAGTCCCAGCGCGACCCCGGCGGACCCAGAAGTCAGAGATCAGGGAAGGGTCCAGGATGGACCGAGCCGGCTCCCAGGAGCGTTCCTCGGGGCCATAGTCCTTCCAGTCCACCAGGTACTGCCAGCCCCGACCCCTGCGGCAAGCGTCCAGGATGCGCCGGACGGTGTAGATAGGCTCACCGTCGAGGAAGCGGGCAGGAGGCGGCGCCGGAGCCGGAGGCGGGAGAAGGTAGGACTCCACGTAGGGCTTGAGCCGGGAGGTATGGAAGGTGGGATGGATGCGGAGAGTAGCCGGCAGCCGCAACCGGTACGTGACCGGGTTGATGACCCTTTGGATGGGGTATGGGCCGAGGAACCGAGGGGGCGAGTTTCTTGGATCCGGCACGGACCCGAAGGTCAGCCGTGGACACCCAGACCTTGTCCCCAGGAGCATAGGAGGGACCAGGACGGTGTCGACGGAGATGCTGGTGAGCATAGCTGGTGTTAGCTCTGGTTATGGAGGCTCGTGCTTTGATCCAGGCGCTCTTGCAGCGTCTCACCATGGCTTCCGCTGCCGGAACGGCGACCTCGGGTTCTTGGTGGGCAAAGACCGGGGGCTGGAAGCCATAGCAGACCTCGAAAGGGGACAGCCAAGTGGCAGATGAGGTGTGAAGATTGTGGGACAGCTCCGCCCAGAGGAGGTATTTAGGCCACTG